CTGCAGCCGCCTGCCGGTGGCTGCAATCCTGCCAAGCAGAGCATTGGAAATGCCATCGCACCAGGAACCGCGCCATGCCCCGTGTACCCAGAGCACCACCCCCCACCCCAGATCCACGCTTATCCAACCCCATTATCAGCAATGCACTGGTGCAGGGGCACTTGGGGTGGGGAGTTGCTGCCTGGCAGGGACAACTTCCAGGCCACAGCCCCATCCCAGGGCAGCCATGGGGGGGCTTAGGCATGGAGCAGGCTGGCCCTGGGTCAGCAGGAGAGGTCCTTGCCCTTGTATCATCTTGTCGGGCTTGGTGGACAGCACCCCAGGGTTTGGTCTATGCCTCTGGAGGGGCAGCACGTGGGCAGAGCTATGTCTGGGATTATTTTTTTTAAAGATAGAAAGGCTACGACATTGTCTATTTTATCAATACGGGTCATACTTGCTGTATTTTTTATCAGTGCTGATGTCCATGCAGCTCCCAGCATGTGTGTCAACTCTCATTGGTCCAATAATAAACTTTTTAAAATATCGTAACGCATCTCGGCCTGCCCTGGGGCCCAGGGGCTGCAGTGGTACCCACACTCGCTGCAGCGATGTGTGCCACGGGGTTGGCGGGGGAGCCGGTTTGCAAGGACATTGGCTGGCGCAGGACCGCGGGCACCCCTGGGGCTGGCGGGGGCTGGGAAGAGAACAGTTTATTTCTCCTGGGGGGAGCAGGGAGGGTGCCCATGTTGCATGTAGGCTGGCAACGTGTTCAGAGCCCAGTGCTAAGGAGACAGCATTGCGATCGGCCCCTGCGCGGTGCCAGCAGTGCCCACCCCGGCGCAGAGGCAGGCTGCGAGAGCTGCGCCTGGGAAAGAAGATGCAGGGGACGAGGTGGTGGTGGCGTGTCACTTTTATTGCTCATAAATTACGTCTTCAACACAAAATCATCAGCATCATCGTCTCAGGCTGTGCATCGCGTCCACTCTCAGGCTCCAAAGCACAGGGCAGCAGTGCGAGGCCGCGGAGCAGCTGGGCTGGGAGCGGAGGGCTTGCTAAGCAGCCCCCTCCCTAGCAGGCCGCCCTGGGTGCAAGCAGGGCACGAGGGGGGGGGCAGCGCAGGGATGCAGCATTGAAGCAGCCCCTATGCAAGCACCCATAGCCTTGGGCTAGGAGCCCAGAGCTCCCCGGGACCTCACCAGGCTCCTCACTCCCTTGGGTGCTGGCTGCCGAGCCATGAACAGCCCCTTCGATACTCCCCTACAGCTGCAAGCCCCAGCTGTGCTCCTTCTGTGCTGTGCATGGCACCACCAAACACTGGGCAAAGGCACGGAGGTGGGAGATGGGGGCATGCAGCGAGGGGAACCGTGCTGGGCTTCGCCTCCCCGGGCTGGTCCTCCTGGCCAGCTTTTTGCATAAGGTTTTTTGGTGCCTCTAGGGCCCAATGAAGGCAGCCAGGAGCCTCAGGCAGAGCCCATCTAATGCACTAGGAAAATTTGGGGCTCTGTGCCAGGTAGCATGGGGAAAGGGGCCAGTGCAGCACAAGGCAAGTGCCTTGATGGGGTTGGCAGCACGGATGGGTGGCAGGAGGCAGGGATAACACTGTCCGACAGGCCCGGAGCCGTTCTGCCAGCCAGCTGCATGTCCCTGCACCCAGGCCAGGCCCAGGGCCCAGATTTGCAGCTCTGGTATCTGCAGAAACAAGCCCTTCTCCAGGCCAGCGAGGGGCTGAGCTAGCTAGCATCAGTGATCGGTATAACAGAGACTTTATATAAAACAGCACGACCGTGGCATTCGTGGCCCTTTGCTGCTCTGCTGCAGACTAAAACTACTGCCCAGAGGAGACCCAGACATGGAGCAGGGCATCCTCTAGGCTCAAAGCAATGCAAAAGTGCCAACAGACACCATGGCAAAGGCAGCATCTTGCGAGGGTGCTGCCCCACCACCGGGCAGCGGGCAGGTCCCGGACAGGGACCCCCATGCTCCAAGAGCAGGGCAGAAATGCCAGGCACTTGCTTTTCCCTGTTCTCTCCCTGAGGGGAGTGAATTGAGGTGCTGGGACCTGCAGAGCCAGCAGTGCACCCACACCCCCACTGGGCTAGCAATGCCGAAGCCAGGATGGGGACCTCAATAATAAATGCAGCCGGCAGCAGGCTCCAGCTCCCCGTGTCAGCAGTGCACGGGTGGGGAAGCCTGATCAATGCTCCTGCACTAGCATCAATGCTGCAGTCTCTGCTCCCGTCGCTCCCCGCCCCCCAGGCCCACCCTCTGGGGCGGTCTGCCGGGGCACTGCACGGCCGATCTTACCCGCGTGCTAGGTTGTGGCTACCAGGATGGGGCAGACGGCGATTAAAATGCTCATGTCCCAGAGGCCGGGGCAGGACAGGCAGCCGGAGCTAGCATCTCCCTTCAGTCACCGACACTAGCTCCATGCAGCCGGGGGCTGTGGCAGGCTCCTCCCTGCCTCTCCTCACCCCAGTCATCCTGCACCCCTTGTGTTTCCCCCCTGACGCTGGGGGCTTGTGCGGGGCTGGGGCTGCAGCCATCCCAAAGCAGCTCTAAAAGGCACCTGAACAAGCTAAATGCAGCACATGTCCCTCCGCTGGGAGCGAAGGCCCAGCCTTTTCCGAGATGGTAGGAGGGCGGCAGGGCAGAAGCCACCGTAGCGTTCCCCACTCAGGAGAATCTAGGCACACGCTCGTGGCTGCACAGAGGTCTCACTATTGCACCAAGCGTGGCTCCTCTCCGGAGGCCTGTGCCTGGTCTGAGGCCACTCTCTCTGGCCCTTAGCTTTCCAGCTTCAGGACAGAGGCAGGGAGCTGTAGCATGCAGCGGCTTGCTAAGGACCTGCACTGCCGTGGCACGTCCTGACATGCAAAGGACAGACTGCGCGGGACCCGAGATACCCCCTCATCGTGGAGGTGGCTGCACTGGAGCTAAAGGAGAGAGAGAGAGAGTCAGGGGCTAAGGCTTTCGCTTTCCGCTTTCAAGCAGCAGGTTAGAAGAACCAGAAACCAAAGCGCCGGAGACGGCCATTCTGGACAGACGGACATGCAAGCAGCGGTGAGGATACAGCCCGTGTCCGGCACGGCTGGGTGGGGGAGGCGCTGGCTGTCCCCTGATGCCAGGACTCAGCTGAGGAGTGGAGCCGACCTGTCGTTCGTCACCGTGGGTTTCAGCTGGACGTTGGCAAAAGGGTTTCTGCAGAGAGACAGAGAGAAAGGCGGGGGTTAGTTGGGGCGGCAGGGAGCCTGAGCAGGGATGGCGAAGGGGGGAGCAACACAGCCGACAAGGACTCGGGGGGGCGAGACAGCAAGAGACACCCAATGAGACACCACACGCTCCTGCCGGGGACAGATGGCTCCGGCGCTGGCTCTGGAGATGCACCTGGGCCAGGCTGGATGCGCTGACTTGGACCCATGTGCTAAAAATGGTCCAGCAGGCCCCCTCCTTGCCTCCTAAGACAGCAGCAACCCCTTCTGAAGGGGATGTTGAGCCTTTCTAGCTTCTCCCTAGCCTTTAGAGACCCAGAGGAGCAAGAATCGCCACGACGGGGCCATAGGCCCTGCGGATTTCCCCCTGGTGCTTTTCTACCCAGCCAGTCTGGGAGATCAGGGCTTCAGCCCCTTCCACGGGGAAGCGGAGGGAGCAGGGTTTGGGGAGCAGACAACACGCACGGCGTGCACATAAGTGCTCCCACAAGTGCTGTGTGTGCTGCCCAAGAGACAGCATCAGACACCATGGAGGGAAGGCAGAGGGGCTTTAGGAGCCAGCCCACCACCCCATGCAGGCACTGTCCCTAGGAGGCCAGCACCCAGACAGCCCCACAGCTGCCTGGCATGGGCACTGCTGGGAAGGCAGCAGGGCAGAGCCAGAGTGAGCAAGGAGAGGAGCTGGGAAGAGTTTAGCTGGACCAGACACAAGAGCACATCCCCAGCCCCGGGTGGGATCCAGCCCTCACGCACCCCACGGGAGTGCAGCAGAGCTCAGTACAGACACGCTAGACACCGCATGGACACGCCACGGGGGCATGGACTCTAGACACACCTGGGCGGACACTGGGAGTTATTAACCTCCTTGGCGTGCTCCAGCCTTGCCACGAGGCCTTCACGCAAAGGGCCCCCTCCCCGCACAAGCAGCAGCCCGGGGCTGAGCTGAGTGGCAGGCGCCCGGGGGCTCGGGGGTCCGGAGAAGCTGCAGCTCTGAACAGGGCTGGGGGCGGCCACAGCAGAGCGCTGGGGATGGAGGCAGTGGGGAGGGTCAGGATCCTCCCGGAGAAGGGAGGGGGACTCAGAAGAGAGAGGACCCCAGCCTCAGACTCATCCCTCCCAGGCCAGGCAACAACCAGCCAGCAGAGGGCCGCTCCACACAGCGTGGGAGGTTAATAAAGCAAAACACAGACTGGTTCCAAGGTGCCGGCCTGGGGCCAGCCCGTATTTGCATGGGTGTTCCTGGCTCCGCCATCGCGCCCCACATATAACAGAAGTGCAATTGCACACACAGACACACACACACATATTGGCTCCAGCAGAGGCTTCACGCATGGCTTTTGCCAAAGGACGAGGACTTGCGGGACACCGGTCCCCGAGGGCCCAACCCATCGCGCCCGGACCCTGACGATCACCCACCGTGGAGTGGAAAGAAAAGCAGCCGCTTGCCCCCTCCGGCCACCTTGCCAGGGGGAAGCTGCTCCCTGTCTCCCCGTTGCCCTGCCCCAGCTGAAGGCAGGGGTCGGGGGGTCCCCACGACTGCATCCTCTTCAGCTGAGTTTGGCGCTGGAGGGTGCGTGCAGGGCATGCGGGGGCTCGGGAGGGGGTCGTGATACCAGACCCCCATTAAGGAGGGTGCTGGTGGGGGACAGCTCTGGGGACTGGGAGCAAGACCCCTGCAACACGCGGGTGCTCTCGGCAGCTGCCAGGGTGCCCCACATGCCCACAGGGCTGCTGGTAAATTTGGGAGCCGCAGAGGCCATTCTCCCAGAGCCAGCCTGTTCCCAGCTCCAGGATGGTAAGACGTCTCCCTTCCCTCCACGGGTAGGGAACAGGCCTCCGTGCTGGCCCCCTCTCTGGGGGTTGGGAACGGGGTTTTGGGCTGGGTCCTGAAAGCGAGCGAAGAAGAGAGAAGCAGAAATGAGCCGTTAAACCTGAGCGCGTTTGGGTTCGTAGCCCGAGAGCCCCGTGCCCCGCAGCTGCTGCGGACAGAGGGACCTGGCTTCAGGGCAAAGCCCGCGGCTGCTCCTGGCTTCCTCGGTACCTGGATATCGAGCTGCTCCCACTCTCGCTGGCTGGCCCTTGCCGCTCCGCACACCTGGCTGCAGAGAGGCGACGGTGGCTTGCAGGAGTCCGTCCAGGTCTTGCTCACTCCAAGCAAGAGGCAGGGCCCTCGTGCTAGGCTGCTTCTCTGCTCCTGCCCCACTTCTCCCACCCTTGAACCTGCCAGGGCTCGTGCCAGGGCTAGCAACATGGTCACCCACAGTGAGGCACCCCAGACCTGCCCCATGGGCAGGGGGACCAAGCATGAGAAGTACCTGGACCATCCCCATTAGCAGCAATCTACTCCCCCTTCCCCCAAACCGGTTCTCAGCAGCCCCCTCCCATCCCACGGCAATGTGCGGAGCCCCCACTTCAGCCAGCAGTGCCCCGGCTTCTCAGGACCATTGCACCCCGCTTTCCTTCCAAGACCATCTCCTTGCTCCAGCTCTCATTTAAAAGCGTGGCTTGGTTTTCAGCAGGACGATGCATTACCCTATTTTTAAGCCTGAGCAATTAATATCCCACCTAATGAATGCAGATTTGCAGCTCACTTTTTCCTAGGGTGCCAAAATAGCTTCTGGAGCTGGGAAGGAATGGAAAGGCTGCTGTTGACTCAGGGTGGGGGGTGTTACTTAACTCTCTGGGTTCAGGGTGGGCGAAGGAGGATGATCCCATAGCTCGGACCACGCTGAGGCACCAAGATCAGTGGGATGGGCTTTGGCAGTAGCCGAGGCCCGTGCACACTGCAAAGGGTCCTTGCATTTTGGAGCCCCTCCTAAGCAGAGGCCCCTGGGCTCCCATGGCACCAAGCGCCTGACACTTGACCAGCATAGGGGTAGGAGCAGGGCACCGGGTGCTGACCTGAGTGCAACCCCCCCAGGAAAACAGACATACGTACGTGTTGCCCATACGCCGCAGAGCGCCGGGAGGAGGCTGTGCCCACAGTGATGCAGCGGCCAGCAGTGTTTGATGCAGAGCATCCATGCCGTTAGGCAAGAGCATCAAACACGGGAGGCCCCGAGAGGGGCGTGTGGATTGAAGGGGAGAATTAGATTAAAAAAGGCAGGAAAAGGGAACGAAAAATGCTCAGTGCCCAGCTATGGAAGCATGAAACCCGAGTGCTCCGCCCGGCAGGGAGAGGAGGTGGGGACGGGGAGGCATTATGCTACGAGCCGTGCACAGATACAGGGGTGGTTAGAGACAGGTGCATTGAGGCTGAGACTCAATGACAGCGGAGGAAGACAAGTCCCTTTCAGGAGCCCAAGGAAGGCAAAGAAGCTTCCACCGATGGATTCAGGTGCAAGCAAGTGATTGAGTGAGGAGCTGTGCTCTGGACGGAGCGTCATGGGCAGGCTAGGAGGCCCCCGGAAACCGGCCGGCATTAGCAGTCCCTGCCGGCCACCAGCGACAGAGCCGGGACCCGTCTCCCCCCTCTCCTGCCTGTACTAGCCGGGGGCCCAAGCCACCAGCTCCTGAGTGGTCAGTCCAGAGCACGCCGCAAGTGCAGGGGGTTGGCACATGAAAACCGTGAACTTACTAACTAGTCAGGGGGGCCTCTCAAAACCTGGCCACTTCCACATCAGGGCTGCAAGGGAAACAGAACGTAGTTCGCATGACACACGCTTGAGACGCCTGCCGCGGCTTTCGAGGGAACAAAACAGGGTGAAGGGGAGAGAAGCTAGGCTAAGCGCTGGTCGCGCTCCCGGGAGACTCCATCGGCTGTGTTACGTGCCTCTTGAGGATGAAAATAAAAAGGAAAAGTTGTGTTGGTTAATACTGAGCACTCGCACAAGGCGCACACGATAGCTCTCCGCTGTCATTCGAAGCCTGTAATGAAGGGCAAGCCCGGGTTATAGTCCCCCGTTCGCCAGCCGTTTGGAAAATGTCCTGTGGCATTCCCCATGCTACGCCAAAGGATTCCTATCAAAAAAGGACCGGCCTTGGCCTTCTTGTGGGAAGAGGGTGAAGGGAAAGCCTTGCATGTCAGTTGTTACCGTAGCTCCTCGCAGCCCCCAAGGGAGGCCCAGGGTTGCATGATCTTCCCAACAAAACCCTGTTGGAAAGCAATGAGGTCTAGGTGTCTCCTGGCTTGGAAATCAGCAAGACTTACAACTGCACCCACTTCTTTCTCAAAACAAGTCTGGGCCTTGGCTTCGTGCAGAGACAATGAATTTAAATGCTGTTGCAGCCGTTCCCATGCACAGCCCGTCGGGTTTAAAGGCACATGGTGCAGACCTGCTAGCTGAGCAGAGAGAAATGTGGCAAGGAGCAGTCATCTCCTGACCCTCCGCGGTGCGGGGCATCAGAGGGGAAAAAAATCTGGGCACTGTAGGCTGGTAAGTGGTCAGGGTCACAGGCATCAAAGCCCCCAAAAAAACCACCGAGGCCCGACTCAATGCAATAAATAAAACTTTTATTCAAACAATGAACTCAGTACAGGGCACATTTCTCTTCCGCTTTGTTTTTTTTTTTTCTTAAAAAAAGGTTCTCTCAGCATTTTACAATCTTCATACAAGTTCTGCTAGTTTGTTTTCTACATTCATTCATTCCGCACGGAGTACCCCTGGATTAAAAATCTTTAGCAAAATGAACATCAAACGCAGGAGGCTCTACTGACATGTGCCCGTCGACTATTATATAAAACAAAAAAAAAAAAAAAGAGAAA